CACCTCCGTCGGTTCATCTTCAGTGTCCATCGCGTTGAATTTTCACTCGCCTCATCTCCCAGCGACTGTTGGGGTCACTGTTTTTTTTTTTTAATTTTTTCTTTTTATTTTACACCGGAGAAGTTGAAAGTCGCCCAGCCGTTGCCCAATACCGCGGCCTCGACTGCACATTGGTCAATGCAGAGGTAAAAATACATCCGCCGAGCCAAAATAACACGGCAATCGTTTACTCAATCGCCGAAGAAACTACCCCAGTCATCATCATTCCAGTTTATCCGAAATATTCCCACAATTTTGTACAAAAAATTACTCCAGAAATTATCGGAATTGTTATAATTATTGAGGATATTTTCGGTTAAAATTATTGTTGATAGCAGGAGGAATTATCACCGGTGTTATCTCACCGATTTCTCACCTCTCCCACCATCAACTTTCATTCCCGTCCGACCATACGTAAACTCCACTACTTCATCCTCCGAAGATCGCTCACTCGCTCGAAATAAATCCCTCTATCGTCTCATTGTTATAAATAAATACGTCAAATAACGTGTCAACGAGTTCATCAGGCTCTTCACTTGGCTGCTACGATTATTATAAAATAATTAAGGGTAAACTGGTGATGGAACTAGTGTCAACTAAACATCAATGCGGAAATTTGAAATAACTAGCTACAATCGCGCATTTTAGTACAGGGTAATTGGGGTACAAGTGAAAAATGCAGGAACTGAAGAATTTCCTGGTTTTTAAAAAACACTATTACCATCTACCCTCGATTACAATCTGTTTTTACTATCAATTTATCATAAAAAATAACAAATAATTACAATTTCCGTATTTTTTTATTCAGAATTATAATTCATTCGTCTCAAACAATTCCATTCTACCTGATTAGTCTTTCCTGATAATTATAACAAATCAATAACAATAACAAACAATAATACTCAACAAAAAAAAATATATAACTTTTCTGCAAAATCCAAAATGACAAAGAGTACTTTTCGGTGGCAATTCCGAGTGATTTGAAAATGAAAATTTAAA